TCACCTCATTGCCACACTCACCACATTACCACACTCACCACGCTGCCACACTCACCACGTTGCCATCTGAGTCCAGCACTTGCATCGTCTCATTCACAGGCACGAACCCACGGTTCGTAGTCACGTTCACCTGCGCGGGCAGTGTAGAGCGGGGGCCAGGGAGGAGGAGAGAGGAGCGGAGAGGAGCAGAGAGGAGCAGAGAGGAGCAGAGAGGAGCAGGGAGGAGAGACGGGGGAAGGTCACGGGGGGAGAGGGAGATGGCAGGGGAGAGAGTTGGGAGCAGACGAGAGATGAGTTGCTGCGAAGGGGCAGCTGGGGGGACGATGGGGAGCAGGAGCACTTTGATGCAGAGGAGGAGAATTCTGATGTGGCTCAACCATGGAAGCACACAACAGCAGCAGCAGCCAACATAAACGTGCCAACCAAGGGTTGAATATACATGCGCGATCCGAAGTCTGGGACATGCACTCGCCATCTTAAATTCACATTCTCAATACCAAGACATGCACTCACGTTCTCAAGACCAAGTCCCTTGGTGAATGGTGCGCGGCCAGTGGCAATCAGAGCGGCATCAACCTGAGGGAGAGGGAGGAAGGGGGGGGAAGGGAGGGGATGAGAGGAGGGGAAAGAGAAAGGGAGAGGGAGAGGGGACGAGATGGGAGGTGGATGAACATGCATCTCCAATGCACAAGTGCACCAGCTCATCTTGGAAGTATAAAAAAATGTATCTGAGAGGGCTAGGTACCTGCTTCGTTTGGCCCATCCTACCCTCCTCTCCTTCCCCAAAGCTCACCTCGAGCGTCTCCTTGTACTCCCGCGTCTTGGTGTCAACCAGCTCGATCTGCACTGGCTTGCCGTCCCGCGCAGGGGTGATCTGAGGGCGAGGCGAGGGGGGGGCGCAGAGACAGTGAGGGTGAGAGGTGAGTCAGTGTGTGTCACGTGTGTGTGTGTATGTGCATGTGCGAGGCACTACCGCGTCCTGGTGTCAACCAGCTCGATCTGCACTGGCTTGCCGTCCCGCGCAGGGGTGATTTGAGGGGCGAGCGGGAGTGAGCGTGCAGTGGGGGGAGGGAGACCGAGGGAGAGAACACCCTACATGAGCACATTCTTAGCGGACGATATGCGGTTGAATGCACTTATCTGTTTCCCACGAGCACCCGAGCATTTGAAGAACCTCCTTCTAACAAGCCACACATTCGCTTCTTGTCAAGCCAATCACCGTCTTCTTGGCAAGCCACTGACCTTCTTGGCGAGCACGCCCGTGTGGTAGTCGATGGCGCGCGGGGTGATGAGCACCCTCTGCGCCAGCTTGCCTATCTCGGGGTCGAACCCCGGCATGATGATGTCCAGCGCCTCGACGAACGTCACCTGAGAAAGGAGGGGTGGGGGGGGGGAGGGGAGCGCAGGGAGGCAAGGAAAGCACAGGGCGGCGAGGGAGAGGTATGGCTTTGATACACTCAGAATGCTCCACGGGTTGAGTGGGCTTATGAGCACTCTCCCACTGCGCCAGCCTGACTATCTCGGGGTCGAACCACGGCGTGATGATGTCCAGCGCCTCGATGAACGTCACCTGGGGCAGGGTGTTTGGGGGGGGGGGAGGGAGGACCGTTTGAGAGAGAGAGATGGGAAGGAGAGATGACGACAAGGAGTACCGGGACGAAGAGGAAGGGGAGAGCCAAGGAGATTGGGGAAGAAGAAGCTGTCAGCCCCCAGGCAGAGGAAGGGAGAGAGAGATGTCAAGGGAAGGGAGGGAAGGTGAGCGCGAGTGGGCTCACCTCAGCCCCCAGAGCGGTGTACACGTCGCTGAACTCGAGGCCGATGTAGCCGCTGCCCACAATGGCGATCCAGTCCGGGATCCACTCCAGCTTCAGGGCCTCGTCGCTCGTGAACACCGTCTTGCCTGGCGGCATGGCACGGACGTTCAAAGAGAAGAAACAGATCATTACTCATGATAATACGCTCGGACGGAACATGTTCAGGGGTAACGGAAAATAACCACACGACAGGGGGAGACCTGCGGATCAAGAGAGAGCCATGACAGTGCAGCGTAAGGCATGCACAGACCAACGTGATGGGGTTTGAGGCGCCTGGAAACTGAACTCACCGTCGACCTCGACCAAGAGCCACCACGCTGCAGCGTGACCGCCTTGATGTGGTGTACCCACTGTCGACCTCGACACTGGGAGGCACGGAGGGCCGTTTTGAGGCGCCTGGAAACTGAACTCACCGTCGACCTCGATGCCGGGGGGCACGAAGGGCGTGGAGCCAGTGGCGATGATGACGTCTTTCGCCGTCACTGTCTTCTCCGCCGCGCCTGGCTTGCCGTACTTCACCTTCTGGGGGGTCTGTTGTAGGTAACAGGGATTGAAAGGGTCAGGCACAACATAACAAGGCCAGGATATGAGCCAGTGGCGATGCTGACGTCTCTCGCCGTCACTGTCTTCTCCGCCGCGCCTGGCTTGCCGTACTTCACCTTCTGGGGGGTCTGTTGGTGGAGTTGGGATGAAAGGGGCCAGCATATGGTTCAGGTATGACAAGTGATACCGGCGCGCCTTTCGACACTGGCACGCCTGTCTTCTCCGGCGCGCCTGGCTTGCCGTACTTCACCTTCTGTGTGATCTATTGTGGGTAACATGGTGTCCGAAAGATTCTGGATATGACGCCGGTATGTCAAGGCCCGGATAAAAGGTCACAACGGTGGGGGATGAAAAGAGAGCACAGGTCGTAGGGACTGAAAGTGAGGGGTTTGAAAGAGAGAACACTACCAAGGGAGGGTCAGGTGTAGGGAGCGGAAAGTCAAGCAAAGCGAGCGTTAGTGCGTGGCACTTACAACGAGGGTGCCGAAGCCGTCGAGAATGTCGACCCCAATGGCCTTCATCGAGTTGGTGAGGTTGCCTCTGATGCGAGCAGCCAGGTTGTTGGCGTGGTCCGCCACGGCTTGCCGGTCGTACTGCGCTGCTGCGACCTGAAGGGGCAAGGGAGGAGCGGAACGACAGTCACCCGACCATGTGTACTGACGAAGCTTATAAGCCGAGCTTTTGAACTTGCAACCATGATTCAGGTTCATGGGTGTGCAATTTATTTTGGTCCGATTCAGGCGACAGGTTCCGGTCGACCTGTAGTACCTGGATGCCGAGCGACTGGAGATGATGCTCGTCCTTGAGCTCGTGCATGCGACCGCTGGCAAGTCAAACATGTGACAATGATTACGCGGTACTATCAAGTACCACTCGAGCACTTCCGGCCATGCAGTGTTACCTGGATGCCGAGCGACGAGGTGATGCTCGTCCTTGAGCTCGCGCACGCGACCGCTAAGAGGTCAAACTTGTGCACCAATTTGAGTTTCGAGAATACGCAGTATTAGCAGGTAGCATAATAACAGTTCCCTACTGCCGGTGTTACCTGGATGCCGAGCGACTTGAGGTGATGCTCGTCCTTGAGCTCGCGCATGCGACCGCTGACGGCCAGAAGCGCCTTCGACGGCACGCACCCGCGATTCACGCACGTGCCCCCGACAACGTCACCCTCGATAATGGCTGTCTTCAGGCCCTGGTGACCAGATAGCGTCGATATTTGAAAGGACAGGCGGGTTGATCAGCGTCAAAAAGGGCCGCCGCGAAACATCGATGTGGACGTCATGAAAGAAGAAAGCCTACGAGTGACACACATTGCTAGTCGTTCTTCGGCGAGGCCTTAATCTGACGGCAGAATTTGCTGACAGAGTTTGCTGTTCTTCCTTCACTTGATCGTCAGCCATACGCCTTAAAGCCATACCTGCTCGACGGCGTGCAGAGCAGCGCCATGGCCACCGACGCCGGCGCCGATGATGATCAGGTCGTAGTCGAACGACTCGTCCTTCGCCTCTACGACCAGACGCGACGACGACGACGCCTTTGCGATCCTAGCACCGCGAGCCTGTGCGACAGATTTCACGAGCGATGCTCCTGCGACGCTCGACGACGAGGAAGACAGGCGTCGCCAGCGCTGCTGCTGGGGAGCTGCGAGGGAACGAGCACGCTGGCTCGAAGCTCCTGCGACAGCGGATCGCTGGGAGATCGCAACTGGCACGCGAGGAGCGACTGCGACAGCCTCCATAATTTCCGAACCTGGTCAGAATTTCACGGAATCGGCTAAGTGCCTCCTTCGTGTGATCAGGCGACTGAGACCAAATTCTCTGACCAGGGAAGTGAAACTGGTGGAAGAGATTGACTGGGGGTCCAGGCAAAGACTGATTGCCTGATGTGAGGCAATCTCAAATCAAGGGGGCATCGGAGATAGAATCTAGGGGCTTGCTGAAGGCTGAAATCCCAAGGCTTGTGGTCAGGGGGAGTGAGAGAGGAAGCAGAATTGCTGAGGGAGTGAGATGTGGGGAGACGGGGAAATTTGTTTCGACGGACGAGATTTGTTGTGAAATCGCCTGAAGCAGGTTGCTGACGGGCTGGATCTGAGGATCGACTTCGCCTCTGCTGATGCTCCTGACAGGGCAGTGATCATCTTGAGCCAATCATCTTGACACGTGGCAGCGTAAGCTCTGTCAAAGCTCTTGGGATCATCGCGTCACGTCCAGGTCAAAGCACGGGTGATGGCCTCTCAATGGGCCCCGCGTGGAGTGGACCTCGATCCGTAACGAGCAGAACAGTCCACGTAGATATGTAACTACTTAATGCAAGATTACTGTTTTTCTGTTGAGGAAATGCCTCTTTCAGGTTCGAATCTAGAAATCCCTATTACGAAGCCCTCTATTGCGGAGGCCCTCGTTTCCGCCCATCTTTTATGTGGAACCCCATTTGCGCCCAACCATTGCGGAACCTAGCTCTCCCCTAACCTCCCCCCTACTCCCCCGTCCCCCCTGCTCCATTTCTTTGCGCCCACTGATCGCAGGCACTGCTCTGCTGGCATTCCTCCACCAGACCGGCAGCGGGAGGCAAGGGCAGGGAAACAGAGCGAGGGACTAGGAGGAGCGCAACGAGTGGTAGGAAATAGATAGCCTGGCATCAACACTTACATGGTAAACTCCGTGTAAATATTATAATAATCTTCATGGCGGGATTTCAGCAGAAATTTCCTAGGATCAGATTCAGAGCCTGACGATGACCGCACCCTCCACTCGATCCTGCTCATCTAAATCATGCGCACGCGCAGTGCAGCTCTACACTTGGGCGTTGAGGCGAGGCACGCCGTCCGCGTTTCGCCATTCCTCCTCTCCCTATTACTTCCTCTGCATCACGCACGTGTTCGTCAGCACGTCCCAGTTCTGCTGGATCAGAAACCGCATGCCCTTCATCCCGACCAGATTGTACTCGTACGTCTTGCCGCGATTGTCGCGACACGTTTTCGTGGCGCCGAAACTCCACGCGCACTTGTCCGCGTTCTCCTCGCCCTCATCGTCGAACCATCCGCTCTCAACGTCGGGGTCGGTCGCGGCCTCTGCGATCTCGTGCGCGATGGTCGAAAGCATCGCATCGATTGCAGGCTTCCCGTTGGGCGACGTGCTCCGTGTCCCGCAGGCCGGGCATTGCCCGGGATGACCCACTAACGAGTATATCACCGCGTCCGACTCGATAAAACCCATAGTGTGCCATCCGCAGTATTTGGTACAGAATCCGGGGTCGGAAACATCCTTGCTGATGAGAAGCAAGTAGATGCCATGGGGGTCATACGGAAACTCCTTTCCGTCGCCGATCTTGCTTGAAACAACTGTGAGATCAGAGAAAGGAGAGTTCGAGATGGTGAAATGGCAGGGAAAGGCCCGAAATGGGTCAATGATGTACAATTTTGAGGCGCCTCAAATGTAGAGCATGGTGCATGAACGAGGCGAAAGGTCTGCCAGAGCATCAGTGATGTTGAGGTACTACTATGCATACCTTCCCAAGCGGTTCCGTCTTCGAAACTGTCTCCCACCGAGTAGTCATCGTACGCAATCCCGGCTAGTCGCACCTGAGGGAAAAGCGAGGGGATGTGGTTTGAGACGTGCCTGGTTCGGTAAAATCTAGGGCAGGGTTGATGTGAACTGAGCATGTTGTCATTTCGCAATCATCAACAAATTGGCATCTTTGCGGTTCGGTCAACAGCAGCCGTCGATGTCCACAGCCGTCAACAGTACCGGTGTCCACTCAGATTCCTTTCGTCCAAGCCCTCCAGGAAACTTGAATGGACTCACCTTTCTACTGACATTCTTCATCTCGCCATCCGCCTCCTGAGAGTACGGCGCGTTGATCGCCCACCAATGCTTCACCTTGGGATCCGCCGCCGACCCCTGCTGGCCCGAATCCGCACTCAGCGACCGAATAAAGTTTCCAATCACGCCCTGCCCCGACCCAGCCGGCCAGCTGCCGTAGTAGATTATGTACACGTTCACGGAAGGGTTTCCGGTCATCACGGGCCCGCCCCAGTACTTAATCGGAATCTCTTGGCCCTGGGCCGAGGCGCCGCCGTCCTGCTTTTCTGCCAGCTGGCGCTGACGACGGAATTCACCGTGCGCCTGTCGCGTGCGAGCGACGCGTTTGGGTGCGCCGGCGGATGCGAGGGGGAGATGCGAGAAGCAGACGAGGGAGAGGAGAACGAGCACCGAAAACATTTGTTTGGCGAACTTCGCCATGGCGAAAGGTTGAAGTTGAGTTGTAACCGCTGAATTCGCAAACGTATGGTGTTGATGTGTGCTGGAAAGCTTAGCTGTCAGACTGAATCTCCTGCCTGTACTCCTGACCAAGATTAGCTCAATAGTAGTTGGAACCCGTACTGCCTACAAAAATCTAGATGGCTGCGCAATCCAGAGAGACCACGAGAGTATATGCTCGGTTGCGATAGGAATGCTCTTACCGGTTGAACCGACAAGCTTTGTAGTTACTTCATCCGAGGAGCTGCCACTGCCTCATAGACTCGATTCGTTAGCGCCGCAGCACCAAGCGCGCTGCGGGAGTGAGACGTCTTTCTTACTACTACGTAGTCTGCACTTTTTTTTCTCCATTCTTCCCGGCTTCATCTGGTTAGCGGTGCTTCCGCTGTGGTTCGCGCTCACCTTCACGCAGCTCTCTACAAAACAGGCCATAATGAGGCATGGTGCGGCGTCCGACTAGACCTAATCAGACTGGGTCCGGATCGTTTCACACGTTCAAGAAAGGTTCCTGAGCGTTACAGGTAGTTGCAATTGGATGGAATACGGTTCCCAGCTGGGTTCGCCAGTTTGAATGTGCGTCTCCCACACTTAGTGTTCGGGTGCAGGCGGCTCCCAGCAGTGTCCAATAATTTTGCGGCTCGATCTCCTCACACGGGAAAGTTGATTTTCCAGAAATCTGCTGGTTGGGTTATATTTTTCAGATAACTGTGTATCGAGTACAAAACATGTCCATTATTGAACAACGATCATCATAAACAATTTTTACTACGAGCATAAAGGTATGATACAAATCGAAATGAGTTGATACGATGCGTTGATAGGCTAGAGAACTCCTTGATGTGATGCAGTCTCTATAAGTCAGTAAAAGCCTTAGTGGCTACAAAAATATGACTATTAATAGCTACAGGCATGAGCAATCAACTGTTTGTTATTACTGTAAAAGAAGGAGAAAGGCACCGCGACTGCAAGTGCCATGTTGAGATAATAGATCACACAACCCCCCCCAAGGATTTCCTACTACTCAGCCTCAACAAATTCTTCCTCGACCGAGGTTTCAACCTCTGTGCTCGCGGACTCGGTGGTGATGGTGGTGGTTGTTGTGGTCGTGGTCGTCACCTCGGCGGTTGTCAGACTTTCAGCGCTCACTTCAGTCACCTCAGCCGCCGTTACAGCTTCCCCGCTCGCTTCAATCACCTCCTCAATAACCACACTGCTCTTCCCAGCCGCCCCCTCAACCCCGTTGCCAGACTCAGACTCCTTGCCTGCAAGCTTAGACACCGGCAGCAGGCGGGTGAACTCGGGAGTCTTCTTGTGGAGCAGGTAGGCGGAGGCCCAGTACCAGCCGAGCATGATCTGCACCTCCTTGCGCACGGACTTGGCCACAGAGCTGTCGGCGAACGACAGGCGCTCCAGCACCTGCCGGCCAGTCTTGAGGTCCGTGGGCTTGGTGGCTTCGAAGGTGAGCCCGTCGAACTCGTTCACACACAGCGCCTCAAAGCCCCTGGGTACAATGGGAGGCGAGAACAGAGAGGGGAGGGTTGGGGTTAAGGACAGGCGCTCCAGCAGTGACCTGCCCGTGCACTGGTCCGTGGGTTTGATGGCTTCGAATGTGAGCCCATCGAACTCGTTCACAAACAAGGCCTCGAAGCCCCAATGGGAGGTGAGAACAGGGAGGAGAGGGTTAAGGACCTGCCGGCACCTGCACCTGAACAGGGAGGAGAGGGGCTCCAGCACCTGCCGGCCTGTCTTCAGGTCCGTGGGCTTGGTGGCTTCAAAGGTGAACCCGTCGAACACAGCGCCTCAAAGCCCCTGGGAAGGGTAGTAGGAAGGGAAGGGGAAGGCATGGGTTGAAGGGCAGAAAAAAGATTGTGGGTGTGGCGCCCGGCAAACATCAGCCCGTAATACTCGCTCACACAAGGCCTCATAAGCCCCGGGGTACAGTTGTAAGGAAGAATGACAAGGAGAGCTGAGGTGATGCATGCGTGTACAGGTGGCAACTTCACTGCCCAGAGGTGGATGCGTTCAGATCAGAGCTGGTCAGTGAAGTTCTAATCGATTATGTTTGGAGTAAGGAGAGGATCCTCTGCTGGATCCTCAGCAGAGGATGACAGGGGTTTTGTAAGACGGTCATGATGGAGTGCAAGGTAGTGTCATGGTGTCATGGCGACTTTTGAGGCGCCGCAAAAGTCATGATGGAGCGCAAGGTAGTGTCATGGTGTCATGGCGACTTTTGAGGCGCCGCAAAAGTCATGATGGAGCGCAAGGTAGTGTCATGGTGTCATGGCGACTTTTGAGGCGCCGCAAAAGTCATGATGGAGCGCAAGGTAGTGTCATGGTGTCATGGCGACTTTTGAGGCGCCGCAAAAGTCATGATGGAGCACAAGGTAGTGTCATGGTGTCACGGCGACTTTTGAGGCGCCGCAAAAGTCATGATGGAGCGCAAGGTAGTGTCATGGTGTCATGGCGACTTTTGAGGCGCCGCAAAAGTCATGATGGAGCGCAAGGTAGTGTCATGGTGTCATGGCGACTTTTGAGGCGCTGCAAAAGTCATGATGGAGTGCAAGGTAGTGTCATGGTGTCATGGCGACTTTTGAGGCGCCGCAAAAGTCATGATGGAGCGCAAGGTAGTGTCATGGTGTCATGGCGACTTTTGAGGCGCCGCAAAAGTCATGATGGAGCGCAAGGTAGTGTCATGGTGTCATGGCGAGCACTGACCAGCGGATGAGCGAGGCGTTGGGGATCCAGCGGAAGATGGCGGGCGTGTTGTCCGCGTTGACGTAGTACCCGCCGAAGACAATGAAGACCGTCATGATGGAGGGGCCCAGCGCCATGGCCGCCTCGGTGGTGGGCGCGATGCACCCCACTGTGAGCCCCATGGCTGACGACGTGAAGGACTCCACTGTGGTGGCGCCAAGGAACTTGAGGAACCTGGGGGAGGGAAGGGGAGGGAAGAGGGGGGGAGGGGAAGGATGGGCGCGATGCACCCCACTGTGAGCCCCATGGCTGACGACGTGAAGGAATCGACAGTGGTGGCGCCAAGGAACTCGAGGAGCCTGGGGGAGGGAAAAGAAGCGAGGGGAGGAGGGAGGGGCTTTGAATCTTGGGACGTCTCTGTGGTGGGGGCGATGCGATGCACCCCACTGTGAGCCCCATGGCTGACGAGGTGAAGGAACTTGAGAAACCTGCTGGGATGGGACATACAGGGTGAGACGGGATCATCAGAAGCTCACTAGAGGTATGTACATGGGTGGGTGTAGATGGTGCCATCAGTAAAATGGCACGCAAAGATCATGTCATTGATGACAGAAGGGCTAAAGGACGGGATGGTACCATGCCTCTCACCTGGGTACAGTGCGGTGCAGACCGGTCATGGGGTAGCACACCATCGAGAACAGCGCCGGGAAAAACGCTGTGACCGGCAGCTCGGCCACAAGCTTCGAGAGGAAGTACGGGCCCACTGCATACGCGCCCTTCGCTCGCTCCCGCTCCACAATCTGCCTCTCCTTCGGAAACACGTTCAGCGTCTTGGTGATCGACGCCATGGCGGTGTTAATAGCCGCCACTTGGAGCAGACCCATGCGGTCCTGGATGGTCGTTTGCCCAAACCCCATGCGCCAGAAGATGGATCCGAAGATGGCCGCAGATGTGAGGTTCATCATGGCTCGGACCACGTTGGTGGCGCGGTCACGGGTGGTCTGCCGCCACGCGCGCACCAGGAGGATCTTGAACTGCTGCCAGAACCCGGCTCCTGCCCCGTCTGCCTTCGCTGCAGTCAGCCCGAGACGCCGCTTCGACTTGCCGCCCCCCTCCCCGTCCTCCTCCCCGTCTTCCTCCTCGGAGTCGGCTAGGCTGGCTTGGAGGTCTTGGGAGACGGCCAGGGCGGTGGAGCTGCCGGTTTGGGCGGCGGAGTGGGCGGCGAAGGCCTGGATGAGGCGCTGGATGCGGGCGGCGGACTGCGCTTCGGTGTCGGCAGAGGTGTGGTCCGTGCCAACCAGGTCTGAGAGGAACTCTGCTGGGTTGGAGTGGAGGGGACAGTCGTGGCTGGAAAAGGGAAGGGGCGAGGGAGTGGGTGGGGGAGGTGGGAGGTGGGCGGTGGGGGGTGGAGGGAGAGAAAGGGAGACAGGATGAGGAGAGGGCGGAAATCGGGAGAGGTGTGGTCTGCGCCGGCCAGGTCTGAGGGGAACTCCGTTGGGTTGAAGTGCAGGGGGCTCTCGTGGCTGGAAAAAAGGGGGGGAGATGAGGGGCGAGGGAGGGGGTGGGTGGGATGGGGGGGGGGGAGGGGGGGGAAAGGGGGGAAGGAGGGGGAGAATGTGGGGAAGAAAGGGAGAAGGGATGAGGAGACAGAAGAGGTGTGGTCCGTGGGGTCCGTGGGGTCCGTGGGGTCCGTGTGGTCCGTGTGGTCCGTGTGGCCCGTGTGGTCCGTGTGGTCCGTGTGGTCCGTGTGGCCCGTGTGGTCCGTGTGGTCCGTGTGGTCCGTGTGGTCCGTGTGGTCCGTGGGGTCCGTGGCAAGCATATGGGTTGGATTGGAGGGGACAGTCGAGGCTGTGGGGGGAGGGCGACGGAAGGAGGGTATGATGCCTCGTATAGACGAGGCATCATATATGGAGAGTACACTCAGGCTGATGGAGAGTACACTCAGGCTGATGGAGAGTACACTCAGGCTGATGGAAAGTACACTCAGGCTGATGGAAAGTACACTCAAGGTGATATGGAGTAGACGACTCAATGACATGATACACGAGACCAACATGTTAGCCCCCTACTAACGAGGTACCCCCCTCCCCCACCCTCTCCTCCACCCTCTACCCTCTCCCTCTCCAATTCGTCCTCCACTCACCCTTGATTCTTGAAGTACTCAAGGCACGCATCCCCAGCCGGCCCCGAGTAGACGAGCTTGCCGCCCGCAACCACCATGATGTCATCAAACATGTCGAACACGCTGCCACGTGGCTGATGGATACTGGTGGATGGATGAACGGGGGTCCGGGTGGGGGCGGGGTTGGGGGTGGTGGAAGGGTGGAACAGCGGGGGGGAGGAGGAGGAGAATGGGGGGGGGGGGGGGGATGAACTTGCGGACGGAAGGAGGGCGGGAGGGGGGTAAGAGGGGGTGTGATGCAGCCTTCGTTGTGCGCCCCTCCCCCCTCAACTCTCTGACCTGCAGATGACGGTGCGGCCCTCCTTGGCGAGGTCCTTGAGAGGGTCTGCATCACCTTCTCCGCCTGGTGTGCGTCTAAGCCGTGGTACGAGTCCAGCCCCGCAGAGACACCGCCTTTGAGTCTGCACAAAGCTCACCTGCAGATCACAGTGCGGCCCTCCTTGGCGAGGTCCTTGAGCGTCTGCATCACCTTCTCCGCCTGGTACGCGTCCAGCCCGTGGTGGGCTCGTCTGCGAACACCACGGACGGGTTGCCCAGCAGCTCGCAGGCAATCGACAGCCGCTTCTTCTCGCCGCCGCTGATGCCGCGCGTCTTGTTGTCGCCACGATCGTGCCTGCTGCGTTCACTGCAGGCCAGGAATCAGAGGATAAGTACAGTGTACATACATACAGTACCAACCATGTACCAGGTACCATGTACCATGTACCATGTACCATGTAATGTACCATGTTCCATGTACCATGTACCACCATGTACCAACCACTGTACCATGTACCATGTACAACATTACCATGTACCATGACCATACATGTCCATGTACCATTACCATTCCATGTACCATTACCATGTACCATGTACCATGTACCATGTACCATGTACATGTACCATGTACCATGTACCATGTACCATGTACCATGTACCATGTACCATGCCTACCATGTACCATTACCATGTACCATGTACCATGTACCATGTACATGTACCATGTACCATGTACCATGTCCATGTACCATGTACATGTACCATGTACCATGTACCATGTTACCATGTACCATGTACCATGTACCATGTACCATGTACCAATGTACCATGTACCATGTTACCATGTACCATGTACCATGTACCATGTACCATGTACCATTGTACCATGTACCATTACATGTACATGTTACCATGTACCATGTACCATGTACCATGTAACCATGTACCATGTACATGTACCATGTACCATGTACCATGTACCATGTGACCATGTACCATCCATGTACCATTACATGTACAAATTACCATGTACCATGTCTGTACCATGTACCATTACCATGTTACCATGTACCATGTACCATTACCATGTATCCATGTACCATGTACCATGTACCATGTACCATGTACCATGTACCATGTACCCATGTACCATGTACCAGGAATTGCAATCGAGTTGACTCGAAGTCAATCAAATAGGCTGTTCCGCACGCTGTTACATAGAGTGACTCGCCAGACCGACAGACTCACCAGCCCCAGGTGCTGCCTGCTCCACGTGCTGCTCTTGTGAAGCTGAAATTGAAAGGTCAATCTGATGACTCACTCGACTCAGGCTGACTGACTCGCCAGACCGATAGACACACCAGGCCCAGGTGCTGCAGCAGCTGCTCCACGTGCTGCTCCTTCTGGATCTGAAGTGAACTGGTCAACTTGTAAGCAGTGGCTGGCATTGACTCACCAGACTGCTGGACTCACCAGCCCAGGTGCTGCAGTGCAGCAGCTCTTCCGCATGCTGCCCCTTCTGGCTTTGAAGTGCGAGACTCATATACGAGGCATCATATACGAGGCACCATATACGAGGCACCATGAGACTCACCAGTCCCAGGTGCTGCAGCAGCTGCTCCACGTGTTGCTCCTTCTCCTCGTCCGACATGGACGACGGCAGCTGCAGCTTCGCCGCCGTCACCAGGGTCTCTCGCACCGTGAGCTGCGAGAAGAAGATGTCCTCCTGGCGCACGTACACCTGCCTGCGATGGGGACAAAGAATTTGGAACAGGAACAGACAGGCGAGAGAGTGAACATGTGATATGATACTGCATACAGGTCCTTCGTTGCCCTCACCAGGGTCTCGCGCACCGTCAGCTGCGAGAAGAAGATGTCCTCCGTCCTGCGCACGTACACCTGCCTGCGGAAAAGGGGCAAGCGGAAACGGAAGTTCATATCAAAGGCGGCATAGATCAAAACTGGTCAGCTGCGAGAAGAAGATGTCCTCCTGGCGAACGTACACCTGCCTGCGGTGGGGAAAGACCACGGATGGTGGGAACACAGACAGAGGGCGAAAGAATCAGCATGTGATCGCATGATAGTGCTGCGGTCTCCAGGTCCAGCTGCGAGAAGAAGATGCCCTCCTGGCGCACGAGCACCTGCCTGTGGTGGGGAGAGACGGATGAAAAAAGGCGTCAATGTTCGTATGGGTTAATAGGACATCTGATTGAAATTGAAGAAGTTTCTCATCGGGGAAATTGCCATTCTCAACAGAAATGGAAACAGAATGCCTCTGCCTGCACACCTGGAAACAGCCGCTGAAGCAGGCCAAGGCGAACCGACGCTTGAGTCGACTCAAAAGTCACATCTTCGAAAAAGCTGCTGAAGCAGGGCTAGGCGAGCCTCGCTTCACGCCTTTCGAGCGCAAAGGTGTTTGGCAATGGTGGCAGCGAGCGCAAAGGTGGTTGGCGGTGCATGGAAATCGGAACAATGCTGAAACAGCTTACTAGCGCCATGAATTGGCACGATGCTAAAAAAAAGCTTACTTGTGCCATGAATCGGCGATGGGGACGCCATTAGCGCGGATGGATCCGTAGAGGGCGATCTTGCTGCTCTTGGGCAGCTGGCCGGCCAGCGTGTTGAGCAGCGTCGTCTTGCCGACCCCGACGGCCCCATGATCGCAGCAGGCGACCGGGCCTCGCGCTCCCATTCAAGCCGTCCAGCAGCTTCTTCACCTGAGGAGAAAGAAGGGAGCAACGGTTTTTAGGGAGCAACTGTTTTAAGGATCATTGGACAGCAGCGTCGCCTTGCCTGACCCCGACGGACCCATGTGAACGGAGGATGTCTTTAATCTCAAGGTCCCAAAGCTTTCTCATTTTCTGAAGTTCGGTTCACGGTTATCCATGAAGAAAATCTGGCACAGCTGCGATTTCCGGTAATGTGACTGGTCAGCTTTTCGTCACCCTGCTTGCTTCGTCTGTCTCTTCCTTACACCACTTCACACTGCATTTTTTTCTTCGGAATCACAACCTATCATGTCGTACCTCATTGCCCTTCTTATCAATGCCGGTTCCTTACTACCACCATTCGCTCGAACGTACACGAGACGTACCTCGTTTCCCTTCTTATCGAGCAGCTGGCACGTGATGCTGCTCCATTCGAGCTTCACGTTACGGTCGAGATCGCCAGCAACAACGACTTACATTTCAGCGCCTTTCCTTACTACCACCATTCGCTCGAACGTACACGAGACGTACCTCGTTGCCCTTCTTATCGAGCAGCTGGCACGTGATGCTGCTCCATTCGAGCTTCACGCCGCGGTCGGGGTCCCCGGCGACGAACGACTTGTGCCGCACGGCCTTTCCCTTCTTCTTGCCGCCGCGCACCAGGCTCCCGACGGCGCTAACCGCGACGATAACCGTGCGGTGCTGCGGGAATGCCGCGTACGCCGCGACGCTGACAATGAGACCCCAGGGAACCATTTTTATCGCGTGGTATCGATTCAGTCACGGAACACGGGAAACGGACCGGAAATCGCTGCCTAATGTACGTGGAACCGGCCTGGTCTGGACTAGAACCAAGAAAAGCCAAGCAGCAGAACAATGAAACCAGAGAAATTTGAAAAAATCCGAGGGAAAGAGGC